TTTGTCCTTTTCAGGAGATGGGTGATTATGGTGATTAGTGTGTTTTTGTTGCAGGTGTATTGTGATAAGGAGGAGAGATTATCTGTCATTGTGATTGATGGGTGTTGTTAGCTGGTCTTTTGTGTGTAATGATCACTCATCCTTGTGGCTGGGTACAGTTTGTTGACCTTTTTGCAGGCTGCATTTTTCAGTGCTGGGAGCCAGGTTTTGTAGAGTTTTAGACTTTCTTCTTTTTTGTTGAAGCTCTGCCGGTGTGTGTGAATTTCAATGGCTTCCCCATGTAGTCTAACATAATGATTGCTGGTGTTGTCCAATATTTCAGTATTTTGAAATTCTAATTGAGTAAACTCACTAGGTTTAGGCGATTGGAGTCAAATGAGAGTAACCTTCATGGCAAAATCCTTCTTGCCATGAACATTTGGAATTGTGGTGCTTTACCTTGAAGAAGAGGGATTTACCCAGGAAAGCTTGCACATTGTATGATTTTTTAAAAAAATTATTATTGGTCTCTAAATGTATCACCTACCCTTATATTTATATTTTGTATCAACCATGCAACTCCCAGCCTTTTTTATTTCAATAGATTAATGTGGGGCATCATTAAAAAGCACTTAAGCTGGGGAAATGTTTAACTATAAGCCACACAAAACCGGGGATGAGAAGTACAAAAGGGAAGACATTGACTAAGTGATACATCACTAAACTGTTGCAGAGAAAAAAATATAAAATGAAAAGGAAGTGGTTTATTGCTAAGCAGTTTTTAAAAATTCAAAAAAGGGGGGGGGGGCTACCAGTGCAGTGGCCATGTTGTAGCCATGGCACCCCAGAACCCAGTCCATTTGGACAGTAAATAAATGAACAGCAATATTCACACGCACTGAAACAATAAGGATTGAAGTCATGCCAGGATCAGGTCATTTTCAAAAGGCCTTGCTGTTGAGGTAGGAAGAAAACTAACTGACTCGATGTTACTCATGCATCGTGTGAATGAAAATTTATAAAATGATTTAAATATTGGTAGAATTGATGCAACTGGGTTTTGGTGGCTGGAGGGGGTTTGGCATCTATGACTTGCACCCTTTGTCAGCTGTAGTGATGCTTTCATGGCCAGGTCATGGATACAGGACATCTACATATTATTTCAAATGTGCTTTTCAAAAATTATTTTTCATACACACAGCTTTAGTGACCACCCTGAAGATTTTTCCCCCCTCATGAGTACTTGGAAAAATATTTTCCTGAAGATGATGTTAACCTTCACAGGGTGGGCGTATTATCAGGGGATGTGGCGTCCCTCCTTCCTCAACTTTGCCCTCAGCTGCACCAGACCCCTGGGACAAGGGGCCTTAAGGCAACCTCATAACCTCCCCTTATTCCTGAAGGATGTGGGAAAGGGGGATACATAAGGAATGGCACTAAATGACGGTTACGGAACTTGAATTGCTCGGTACAAACCATGTTGTCTGCCTGTTTAACTCATATAAAAGGAGTGCCTTTTTCAAACATTTCCAGGGGTTTCATACAGATTGGAAGTTTGAAGTATGAAATACACCCCATCGAGAATTCCCGTGGATTTCAGCACTTTATTTATCGAACGGACCCAGAAGAGCAGGAACCATGCAGAGGACGTCTCGAACAGCAAGATGAGCTGACCAGCGAGGACATACAGGGGAGGGGAGCTGAGGAGGTGCTGACAAGGAGCCCCGGCTGGGGGCTGCCTGGCACTGTGGTGAGCCTTCCTCCTGCGGCTTGGAGGTGCCCATTGAACCCGGGACCTTCCGGGTGCACAGCCTTAAGAGCCTGGGTGGTTTTAGTGGCTCTCTTTTGTCTTGGCCGGAATCAGCAGGAAGGAGGTGGAAACAGTCTGAGCCACGGCCAGGAGAAGGAGGAAGGGAGTCCATCCTAGCAGCGACAGCCGTGGGGCAGAGGTGGGGGTGGCCATGTCAACTCCCTGTCGGCCAGGGGATCTCTCTCTCTCTCTCTCTCTCTCTCTCTCTCTCTCTCTCTCTCTGTGTGTGTGTGTGTGAGAGAGAGAGAGAGAGAGAGAGAGAGAGAGAGAGAGAGTCTGTGAGACAAACTTTAAAAACAAGAACAAATTAAAACCTGAGACACAATCCGAGAAACTCTCTTATTTTTTTATATTGAAATGTGACTCATGTTTATGGTTACATTTCTTCCTGCACAAAAAATCCTACCAATGCTCTATGTACTCTTTGTGCTTTCTACTCACATTGTCGTACTTGTTCCACATCACAGAGTGAAGAACTGTTGGTTTCATCTACACAGACCTCCAGAATTACTGCCTGAATTCTCCACTTGCAGGGTTTTCATAGTGCCCATTTTATGATCTTCAGGCAATTAGAAAGGCCGGTTTGAATTTGTAAGGAAAGAAAAGCTGTGAGGATGTGCCGTTTTGTCACTTTCCCCAATCCTTCCTCTTCAAATCAAATATAATGCTCTCTGTTTTGTCTCCTGTGTTATTTGACATCTACATGAAACCACTGGGAGAGTTTATTTGGAGTTGTGGGTTTGGTGTCACCAGTGTGCGGATAACACCCAACTCTACTTCTCCTTGCCATGTAAATCCAAGGAAGCTGCTTGGCTGTAGATCAGTGTTTGGTGTCAGTAATGGACTGGATGAGGATGAATAAACTGAAGCTTAATCCAGACATGATAGAGGTGCTCCTGGTCAGTTGAAAGGTGGATCAAGGGATAGGGATGCAGTTAGTACTGGATGGGATTGCACCCCCATTGGAAAAAAAAACAGGTACACAACTTTGGGGTGTTCCTAGATTCCCTTCCCCTCCCTTCCTTTCCTTCCTTCCTTCGAGACTCGCAACAGGAGTTAAAAAAGATGCAGCTACAAAGGCATTACATTGAAATAGTAAAGCTCAATTAAATAAGATCTCGAATTTAAAACAACCCCTGTCGACTTCACAACAATGAGAAGGAGAAAAAAGAAAAAGAATACATGAGAAGATCTGCCCCAAGCAGCCAAGCAAATAAGATCTCGAATTTAAAATAACCCCTGTTGACTTCACAACAATGTAAAGGAGAAAAAAAGAAAAAGAACACAGCAGCCACCATGAGAAGATCTGCCCCAAGCAGCCAAGCAGTGGCCAACCACTGACCTGAAAAAAAGGGCTCATTGCTTGCTAGTGGAAAGGGGGGGGAAGGGTTAGGGTTGTGTACCTGTGGCCCCTCCTTTCTCAGAAAAGGCCACTCCTTGCCCGCACTGAGAAGCTCTACTTCGGGGCAGGTAGCAGTATTTCCCTCCCTCCTCTCCCCTCCCTCTCTAAAACACACACACACACACATCCATGACTAGATTTCCATGGTTAATCAAGTATCTCAATTTCAAATGAGCCGGGAAGAAAAACCCCTTTTCTCCTAGGTTTTCTTTTAAAACTAACCCGTTAATGTCTAATTTAACGAATTGAAGAAATGTTAACCTAAAGTAAATTAGGTCTGGGCTCCCTGAAATCAGGCGGGAGGTTGCTAGGATGCATAGAGGAGGACCACGACCCTCTCTCGGGACCGAATGTCTAACTTCCCGGCTCGGCTGCTCCCTGGGTTCGTAGGACTCCGAGATCTCAGCCCCTCCACGCCCGTCCCATCGGCCAACCCCGTGTTTTGTTGCTTGTGTCCTACTTTCTTCCCAACCTCAGCTTTTGGTGTTTCATTTTAGACAGAGTTTCCTGGACCAAATGCACCATCGAGGTACCTCGAATACTTTGCGGTTTGTGACAGCTCCATGGTAAGTTACTACTGCCTCCTTTCATCTTTGTGCGTCATGTATCAATAGATGTTTAACCCTTTTATGGTTCTGTGTTTAAGAAAGATGCGGTGGTTTTCAGAGTACAAGTAAGTAACCAACTGCATAAGTTAAGTAAAGATGGATCATGGTATCCGCGGAGGATCGATTCCAAGACCCCACCCTGCAGATGCCGAAACATGTGTATATATTGGACGCTATGCATTGCATGGCCTCTGTCTCACCCTAGTGGCCAGTCCTGGTAAATACACCCTGGAAATGCATATTAAATAGGTATTTCTGGGGTGGTTTATTTAGTACCTTCAGCCACAAGATTAAGTGATTTATCACAAAACAGAGGGAGCCCCCCCCCCCAATTGTTACCAGGACTCTCCTCTTCCTTCCCCTTTCTGCCATCACAGCTCAAGCCTCCCAAGCCATTTAAGGGGGAGGAGGGAGCGTGATAGGAACACAAACATGGTTTTTTTTCATACTGGGGGGGAGGACATCGTCTAGAATCCCTTCTGCAGATCACAGTCGGCAGCATCTCAACTGGGCTGGTCAGGGATTACCTGGAAAGATGGGGCTCTGTGTGTGTGTGTGTGTTTTGCTGTAGAAATACCGAGCACTCTTGGTACATGACTGCGCGTGCTTGTTCTCCCCCACCCTACCCCCATTTCTGCCTTTCAGTTTCAGAGGGAAAAGCAGAACGTGACCCGCGTGATACAGACGGTGCTTCAGATGCTGTTGATCCTTCACAATGTAAGCTAATGGATAGAAATCCTCCTGGCCAGCATTCTGGGCTGGGAAGTGCTCTTTAAGCTTGTGGGGTAGGGGTGGAAATGCACGTACGCCGGCCCAAGGGTCAGAGGTGGGCAGACTTGGTGGCCTGGGTTGTCAATGGAAAGCAGCTTCACGAACCAGCAATTGGAGAGAAGGGGCCCTGAGGTGAGGAACAGGACTGTCCCCCCTGCAAAGGGGGTGCTTAACATCCCCCCTGGATTTTCTCCCCCTTCCATGTTCTAAATGCACCCCTTTATAAAGATACTCCGTAGATGCAAAATCTACTTCGCAGGTTTGAAAGCAGCGGCTAACAGCAGTTAAAAATGCAATATAAAATGCAATTCTTAAAATTAAAACTCAATGGCTGAAATCCTGTTCAAGTTGGTCCAATGTAAAGTTACATCTGCAGAAATGTGTCAGGCCTCATATGTAGCTGCAGGTACCTTACTCATTGAGCTGGGGGGGGGTGATGTATAGCCTGCGCACTTCACTTGTAAACCGCCCAAGGAATGCTTTAAGCACTATTGGGCAGGATATAAGCTGCACACTTTTTGGCATTGGTACAACTGAAGGATCATATATGTAGGAAAATGAAGAAGATCTGGAGCTGCTAAAGGCAGCTGTCTACTTATGAGTAGAGGAGGGAGGAGGCGACAGGGCCTTAGTGATCGGCTCTTTCAAAATAAGGTTTGGGATCTTTAAAAACTAAAGTATATTTTGGCCAGCCTTTCTAAAGATTCAGCTTAGCTTCACCCCCCCACCCCGAGGGATCAGAAGAAGTATGAACAGAAATGCATGCTGATTGTGTAAACCAGCTCCCACCAAGATTCATTTGCCTGAGTGGCACTTCATATTAGGGCCCACAAGGTATGCAGGGTGCCTAAGCATTTGGCACCAACATGAGAACTAGAGATGGGCACGAACCGGCAGTTCGTGCTGGTTCGTCCTTTGGACAAACTGGTGTTCGGCAATACCCAGCCCCGCCTTCAGCAGGCACCTACGGAGAGGTAGCACCCTGGCTTCCCTGCCTCATGTCCTCCGGGTCCTGCGTCTGACTGGGCGCCTGCTGGAGGAGGCAAGGCTGGGAATGGCCAAACACCTGTTCGTCCAAAGGACGAACCAGCACGAAACGACGAACCGCCTGTTCGTGCCCATCTCTGGACCTAATAAAGGAAAGGGATACTGAACCGATCTCTGTAACTCAGCATAGCCCAGTTTCTGTCTGGGAGAGACTGTGGCCCAGCAGAGAAGGGCCAGCTGAGTCTTTGAACGCACGTGCGATCCGAAGTACATGTCTTCGCTCTTGGAAATGTATCTCAGTCTGAGCAGCCAATGCTGGGTACAGAAGGATCGGTGCTCTGATTTGGCTGGTTCCTACAGAGCAAGGGTTGAGAAAGTGCAGCCCTTTAGAGCAGTGGTCCCCAACCTTGGGGCCTCCAGATATTCTTGGACTTCAACTCCCAGAAATTCTGGCCAACAGAAGTGGTGGTGAAGGCTTATGGTAGTTGTAGTCCAGGAACATCTGGAGGCCCAAGGTTGGGGAGACCACTGCTCTAGACCTTGCTGGAACCCAACGCCCAGCATGCCTCTCCCTTGGCTACGTTGGCTGTTACGTGATGGGAGTTGCAGTCTCAGGACCTCTGGAGGCCCCCCACCCTGCCCACCTCTGCTACGCTGTGGTCAGCAAAACCCATCCTGTACATTCCGGAGAGCCTGGCTTTAGAAGCTACGATTAGGGATTCACCCAGATGTTTGTGACTGGACAGTCCTCCTTCAGACGAAGCCCCCACGTTTACCTCTCATGATTTGTCACAAAGCAAAGCGAGCTGATTTTGGAACGAAAGGAGGTATGAAGAATATATGCTGTGACAACCAGCGAATCTGAACATTTAAGAAGTTCCCGCTCGTAATCCGTTGCATACACTTGGCCCTCATGTACAAAATAGGTGACCAGACCCGATGTGGCTCCATTTTATGGAGCAGCAACTTAGCCTCTGCATTCCTTCCTCCTGCAACTCCTCAAAAAAACCCTTCACTATTCAGTCCAACCTCGACATGCCAACAGCCTTCCAAATACAATATTTCCTCTTCAAGGCATTCCCTGAGATGCTGCCACTCTATTTTGTGGCTCACCTTACTGGGAACCTTTACCTTTACCTTCCTCAAATAAAGAGTCTGCTTGGCCCTTCCAAGATGGGTTCAAATACTGAATTGTCACCATGAGGTTAGGCGACAGGCACCTTCTTGGCCAGACAAGCCAGATTTTGCTCCTCTAAGAAAACAAGAGGGTGTTTCCTTTTATTTATTTATTTATTTATTTATTTATTTATTCATTCATTCATTCATTCATTCATTCATTCATTCATTCATTAAGGCATTTTCTGGGCTAAGAACATCAGGTATGTTGCCCGTGTGTGTGTGTGATTTTCTGGGCTAAGAACATCAGGTATGTTGCCCGTGTGTGTGTGTGTGTGTGTGTGTGTGTGTGTGTGTGTGTCTGTGTCTGTGTCTGTGTGTCTGTGTGTCTGTGTGTGTCTGTGTGTGTGTGTGTGTGTAAAACTGTTAAAAAGGAAGATTAAAAACCATGAAGACTTTGCACAAGGCCTTGCATGGCCTTGTTCAGCGAGACAATAGAGAGCAGCCCTAAGGGGCTTGGGCTGAAGCTGTCTCAAGGCCCGAATCACCCTCTGTGAGCCTGCCCGGCTGTTCAGATCCCCAGGGGGAGGCCTTTCTCTCAGTCCCGCCACCCTCACCGGTGCAAGGTTTGGTGGGGACCCAGGAGAGGGGCCTTCTGTGTGGCTGCTCCTGGATTGTGGGACAAATATTTGCTGTAGCAGTGGTGGTGGTGGTGGTGATGATGATGATGATGAATAGGAGCAACATTTATGCAGTAGTTTCAAGTGTTCAGAGTGTTCCCCGAGTATTGTTTATTTGCCACTTGTAACAATAGGAGCAACTTTTATGCAGTAGTTTCACGTGTTCAGAGTGTTCCACGAGTATTGTTTATTTGCCACTTGTAACAAATACCATGTACATGATATCAATATTAATTTGATGTGGATTTGTAACTCTTGTCCAAGACACGGTCACTCGTCCCAATTAAGAGTAGACCCATGGCATCAACCGGTGAATGGGAAATCAACACCGGGGTGGGTCCCACTGAGTTAATGGGGCTACTCTAGCTAAGGCTGTGGATAGGATACTGGCTGTTCTGCTTCGCATAGCGATCCCTTTTACCAAAACGGCCCGTGTGTGTTTTGCTTCCTGCTTTCAGATCTATGATGACGTCGGTCTTCACGTTGTCTTGACAGGGATAGAGATCTGGACCAGGCGGGATTACCTGGCCGTCAGCGAAACGCTGGATGCTTTCTACAACTATGCTTCGACTGAACTCCGGCACCTTGTGCATTTCGACCACGCCTCTTTGTTCATGTGAGAGCCTTTTTCTCCTTGGGCTGACAGGGCTTGGCGTGGCTCGCTTCCTTGCCGCTGAGAACTCTCCAGCACCTTTTCATTAAAAAAAGAGAAAATGTCGTTCCATACGAGTCCTTCTTGCGGTGGCCATGGTGTGAAAGCTGACCCTGTGAGGGGCCAAATGCTGAGCAGTGGTGTATTCCCAACACATCACTCAGGGAGAGATTCCCCACCGTTCACCAAAATAACAAAGTGAGGGATCAGCGCTAGACACGGGGATGAAATAAAAAAAGCGAATTGCAATAGTCCTAAGAAATCGCTGATTCGTCGAATATTCGTCCATTTGTGGTCGTGTATTTGTCAACTTTGGAGAGCCCGACGAATACAAAGGGATGAATATTTACCCTTTTTTATTTGTCCTCGTGGGCAGAGAGGGAAGGTGAGGCTGCTGACGTGGCAGCTTCTGCTCAGGCAGCCTAGCCTTCCCTCTCTGTCTATGCGCCACCGAACTGCTGATTGGCGGCCACCTCCGAGGCAGACGGGACCAACTCTGTGGCCCTAAGAGAAGCCGCTGCCACCCTCTTTGCAAAGATGACGGTGGTGGCAGAGGCGGACAAGGTAGCAAGGCAACGGGGCAGGGGGGGCAGGCTGTGGGGACTTACCCTTTTTTTTCTTAAGATTCGTAGTTCAGCAGTCAACCACGGGGAAATTCGTGGGTCATGGTTCATCAACCATTTCGGCAGTTCGTCCCCATCTCTAATCAGAGCTTTTCTCAAGGAGCTTTTCTTAACTAAGAAAGCCCGCTCCACCCACTCATCATGACACTCCATTACTTTCAAAACCTTTGGCTTCGACCTTGTCTTACGCTATTGACATAGGTGCCTTTTCCTGCCATTATTTGATTTTTGGGGGCATACCCCTCAATGTCCTGGGGTTTGTAGCCCTGGGGGAGGTGTCTGTGTACCCCAGACTGGGAACCCCAGCTCTAGAAGAGCTGATGATGATTTTACACACACACACACACACACACACACACAGAGAGAGAGAGAGAGAGAGAAATGGATTTAAAACTGATTTGAGAGCTTAAGGACGGAGCTGAGCTATTAATGTTGAGACTTTCTGCCTTGTAGGATTATGGGCGAAGACCATCCTTTTGGAAAGTTGTGGCGAGAGCATTCGTGCCTTGAGAACCGTCTCTCCGTTTCTGCTGTCCAGGTAAGTGAGAGACCACAGCCTGGGCCAGACACCTTCGGTTCCATGTTTTGTTCCACCAAGGGAAAGACACGTGGTGGGGGGGTTTGAACCATCTCAGCAATAAGAACTGGACAAGGTGGATTTGGAGATTTTGGACCACCATCAAGAGGGTCCCCCTCCAGCCTGTGGCAGGACCTTCGGTGAAGAGGCAGGATCATGGCGGAGCGAGGGGGGCCTCTGCATCATCAGGGCTCCATGGATTTAAAACTGATTTAAAGGCAACCTTGAGCCGGGCTCAGACTGACCGCAGGAGGGGTACATCCATCCCAAACAGCGACCTGCGGCTGATGGCCAGGCAGCATCCACAGGTCCTGGACTCTTCAAAAGGCCCCAGACCGCACCCCTGTGGCCCTCGGAACAGTCGTCCAGCAAGAAGTCATGAAGACCAAACAGATCCGGGCTCAGCTGAACCTGCGCACGATTATGTGAAGTCTGTTGTTCATTAATATTGGCCGCAGAATCTCTTTTCCAAGCAGACCGGATCCAGCACAAAACAGGGGTGCTTACTTGCTCCCACGTCTGGTCGGCTGGTTGAGAAGGAGACCCTAACCCTAGACAGTTGCCTGCCAACGCCAGCGAGGCCCTCCTCGTTGCTTCTGCTCTGCAGCCTGGATCAAGGCAGCCTCCCTATAATGACAACACCATGCCTTTCACTCAGTAATCCCTCATTCCATTCTTTCATTCACTCCATCATCCGTCCATAAGTCACTCCTGGGCTCTCCGTTTGGGCAAAATAATTTCCCCGATGCCGGTTGTTTTCTGCTCACTGGCGTTTCCTACCCCTTCCCTCCGTAACCGTTGCTCTGCTATCTTCTGAATAAGCTTCCCCTCCCTCTGGGCTCAGCTCCTTTTCCACCTTCGTTTCTCTCCCGTGCACAGACCTCTCCTTCGTCAACAAGCGACGGGGTCTCGGCTGCCCATCAGCTGGGCCATGCCCTCGGCTTCGCCCACGATGATCTCCTGGCACAGAGAGGGCGAACGTGTGACTGCCGCTGCGGCTCCCAGCCGAGCCATTGCCTCATGCACTCCTCAGCAGCGTGAGTCCTGTTAAGTTTTTAACCACGGCGATTTTCCCAGGGTATTTGAGGCACACGACCCAATACAACGAGTCAGCTGCCCCATGTCCGTGCCCCAACCAGAATGAACGCAGAGTCTCTAAGTAGGGAATATGGAAATATGGAAACTGGAGGAGCAGAACAAGGGGTTCTGGGGTATAAAGGAAGCTACCATGGCAGGCGCCCCTTACTCCTGCTTCGAATATCAACATTTTTACTTTTCTGAAACTGCCCATTGTCTTTGTCAAGCATTGTCATTGTACCATAGAATCCTAGAATGGGGGAGCTGGAAGGGGACTCTGAGGCCATCCAGTCCACACACACACACACACACCCTGCTCAAGGCAGGAATCCAAAGCAAAGCAGATCTGACAGATGGGTGTCATTTTCTCTTCAAGGCCTCCAGCATTGGAGCCCCCCCACCCTGAGGTCATGGGACTCATTGTCGTACTGCTCTAGCAGTTAAGAAGTTTTTCCTGATATTCAGCCAAAATCTGTCTTCCTGTATCCTGAGCCCATGATGATCTCTCCTCCACTCTGGGATGATCGTGATCCCCCACAAGGGGATCAGTTTTCTGTGCTCTGCAGCAAACCTTTTTTTAAAAAAAGTACAGTCATTTGGTGAATAAATAAGAGCTCTCTGTAATCATACGTGCTGTGAAAAGATGGACCTTATGCTTCATTGCCTGTTGCATCTCTCCTGTTGCAGGGAGTGCCACAGACTAAGTAACTGCAGCAAAAATGCATATTCTGCATTCTTAGCCCGGCAAGGAAAAGAATGTTTCCTGAACCTGCCCAAAGACCTGTCGGTGGCCAGGATGTGCGGCAACGGCTTGGTGGAGAGCGGCGAAGACTGCGACTGTGGCACGGATGAGGTTAGAGACCATGGGTTCAGACACACCCGCCCCCTTTGCAGGGAGATTGATGAACTGAGCCCTTCTAAATTCAGTTGAGACACAGTGGTGTCGACACTCACTGTGGGGAGCCTCAGGGTGGTGTGTGTGTCCATGGGGTTGTTTGGACTGCGCTATTAAGCAGCCCTAATTTGCATAATGGGGACAGGGTGGCGCTGCAGGTTAAACCGCAGAAGCCTCTGGGCTGCAAGGTCAGAAGACCAGCCGTCATATGATTGAATCTCCATGGCGGAGGGAGCTCCCGTCGCTTGTCCCCATCGCAAGATTGACTCCCCGTGGCAGAGGGAGCTCCCGTCGCTTGTCCGAACTCCTGCCAACCTAGCCGTTCAAAATGGTGTTTGAGGCTGTGGTGACAGTGACTTTAATAGGCAGCTCTTTCACTGAGGCGTGTGCGGTAGAGGACCTGAGACCCTCTGTCGTAGAACAGCCGTGCATCGAATCACCCAGCGATTTTAACTGACAGGAGTGCCAGGAGGACGGCTGTTGCCTGAAGGACTGTCGATGGAAACCAGGAGCCAGCTGCCATTATGGGGTCTGCTGCCAACACTGTGAGGTGAGAGCCCAGCAGGCGCTACGGTTTGGCCTCTCTTTTAAGCATAAAGTCGACACGGAGTGGCCTTCTCTCCGGCCCAGCTAAACAAACTCCTTAAATGTCAAGACAAAGGTCTTGCGAAGATGGAGAACTGTCACGCTCGTGTTGCATTGCCTTTGCTTTGGCTTAATCTCCTAGCATGCCATTTGTTTTATACATTCAGGCTCTGTTTTGCTTGCGGCCTGATTAATTTTCATTTTGAGTCGTCACTTAGAACAGTCAGATTCATATTACAGGTATTTGTTGTTGACTATTATGATGTACCAATCAATGCAACTTAGCCCAGAGGGTTCCCCTCCCCACCCCCGGTCTGTAGGCTTTTCCTCTGCCACTGGGGCTTCTGGGGTTTTTTGTTTTTTTAATCAAAAGCCACCTAGAGTGGTCGTAAGACCAGATAGGCAGGATATAAATTGAATCAATCAATAAATAAATTTGCACCCGTTCACTTCAGTTGCTGGAGCCTGTCAGGAGAATGGTCAGAACCCCAAGCAAAGTTTTAAAGAAGGAGTGGCTTTGGGTTGTAAGAAGGAGTGGCCGCGGTGCTGGCACTTCGACAGGCGGATCCAGAGCAGCTGGCGCTGGCGGCGGATCCGGAGTGGGGTCTTGAGGCGCCTCCATGCCTGGAATTCCCCCTTCCGCCACCACTTCCGGTTCTGCCACTGCACCACCACGGCATGCCACCCACTGGTTTTTTTCCTTTCTTTCGCTTTCAGTTTGGGCACACAAGGTTCCCCGCCACTGGTCTAGGCAAACAAGATGCAGTTTAAAAATAGACAGTAAAATAGTTGATTTGGGCCAACCCAGAAGTTACAAAATTGCCAGGCTCAGTGAATGTAAAAATGGCAGAGAGCAGGGCAGTAATGTGGCTTCAGGGCACGGCAGGCACAGAGGAAATCAGAACGACTTCTGCGACTCTGGGTGGGGGGGCATGGTAGGCCTTCTACGAGAAGGGGCATAGGGGGTGTTTTCATTAAGCATCTGTAGAGGCCCTCTGAGGATGATGCCTGGGCTCAGGTCCCCAACAGAGGGTGAGGGTCTCCACATTCCTGGCAGGCCTTCTTTTCTGGCGTGCCTGTTGTGCACCTCTGGCCCCTCCGGTATGACACACCGGTGGGGCCACCAGCTGCTAGTGGGAGTGAGACTCTTGGAAAGCCCCGCTCTTCCCACCCCCCCACCTCACCCTCCAGATTGCCAATGAAGGGAAACTGTGCAGAGAAGCTGCCACAGAGTGCGACCTCACCGAGTATTGCACCGGGAATTCTGCCACCTGCCCGGCCGATGTGCATAAGCAAGACGGGATGCTGTGCGGGACCGGAGACCGCTGCTATTTGGGGAAATGCCTGGACCGCCAGCAACATTGCCAGGTCCTCTTTGGAAAAGGCAAGGCTGTGCTTTATCACCAAATCGGTCCCGGTGGTTGGTGCCCCTCACGCTTCCTTCTCCAGATGTTTCTCCTCTGCCTCCCTTATCACCGTACGGAGGAGAAGCCTCCCGAAAATCTTGTCGGCAGAGCTGCAGAGAAGAGGACAAAGCAAAGATTGACATTAAAATCAGGAAAGCGCATGGCGTCAGTGATGCAAAGGGTCCCTTCCAGCCTCTGTGCCTCTAAAATATTATATTATGGGGAATCAGACTCCCAACCTCTGGCTCCACAGCCACCGAGGGAATCCAGCAGCTCCTCTGCTGATCAGAATGTGGAAAGGATGAAGCCCACGTCAGTCTCCTCTTTCCGGCCATTCATTCCCCCCTCGCCTTCTGCTGCTGTTGTGTTGTTGTGGTTTTTTTTTCCTCTTCTGGATCTTGACAGAGGTGTCTCTTTCTCTCCTTCTGCCCCGGCCTGCCCCCCCTCTTTTGCCTCCCCCCCCCAGACGCACAGCCGGCTCCACCGAGTTGCTACCGGGGCGTGAACACGCGGGGTGATCGCACGGGCAACTGCGGGAAGGCCAAGCCGGGATACAAGAAATGCCAGGAAGAGTGAGTAGGTTGTGCCACTGGGTAAGGGACCTGATCCGCCGGGCCCTGCCTGAGGGAGAAGCCATAAAACGTGCAGCTTAGATCTCTCTTCCCACTGCTCAAAAAAGCACTCTCTGGGCGGTTTACAGTTTAGTGATGCCGTCTACACCGCGAACAGCTTGAGTATTTACTGAACCTGGGAAGGATGGAAGGCTATGCGAACCTTAACACGAACCTGTCAGGATCAAACACTCGGGTCGTGAGCAGAGTCTTGACCGCAGTGCTGCACTTTAACCACAAGGCTCATCGTGAAGGAGCCCAAATAGAGGGTGGCGCCTAAAGAGCAAAGAGGCTTTCGCGGTCCAGGATCCGGCAGCTTGGCTTCCTCGCGTCC